GACCCTGCTTGAGCAGGGAGGTTGGACTGGATGATCTCCAGAGGTCCCTTCCAACCTAAACGATTTTGTGATTCTGTGATTCTGTGAATCTGATAGGTGAGAAAGGTCACAGAATCACAGAATCAGGTCGGTAGTTGTGGGGTTTGCAGAGGTCTGTGCTGGGGTTTAAGCTGTTCGGAACATCCACAAAGGACCTGGAAAAAGGAATGAATAACAAAGTGAATAATTTTGGTCATGACATTGAGTGGTAATGCAGGGTAGGACAGGAGAGGGACAAGTCTGAGGAACTGCAGAGACACCTTCTATGACCGAGCACCTGGATGATAACACAGCAAATGAAATTTGGCGATGTTGAGTGTAATTTGCTGCTCATGGGGAACGTCCCTGCTGCACTTTGCAGCCATGAAGTCTCAGCAGTCCCTCAGTGGTCCAGAGTGAGACCATGAGGCGGTGAAAAAGGTCCCTGGGATCCATCAGCCAAGGCAACTGAGGCTCATAAAACTGTGAGTGGCCTGGAGATGGGGCGTGGGACTTGACTGCTCGCTGCTGTCCCAGCACGAGTATGACTTGGAGCCATCGTAGGAGCTAGTGGGAGTCGGGCAGGTGGTTCTTCGTGCCAGAGGTAGCTGAATGCGTCAGCCTGGATGCTTGCAGTTTACATGGGTCAAGGGGAGACTGTCGAAGAGGAAACCGCTGAGGGCCGTGGCCACATCAACAATGCCTCCAGCCTAGGAAGTCAGGGAGCTGCAGCTTTTGGAGGCCGAGAGAGCATTTGGGGAACGTGTGCTCTGTTCTTAAGCTCTTCTCCAGGCTTCTCCGCTGTCCACCACGGAGCAGGGATGCTGTATGAGGTGGACCTTGGTCTCTTACCCAGCAAGGCTGCTCTTCTGTTCTGTCTTTATGATCCAGAGCACTTTGAATATCTGCCTAGGCCTCCTGCTTGTTGACTGATCTGCCAAAGTTTGTCCCATTCATAAATTTTATCAACAGTTATTTTTAATTCACTTCCAGATTACAATGAAAATGTTGAGAAAGCTGTGACTCTGGAATGAGAAATACTCTATTTGATGAGGAGTCCTCACCACTGGAAGCTACTTCTATGAGATCTATCACTTTTCAAGTTCCTCACATTAAAGCATGTTTTATTGATGTTGCTTAATGTTAATTTCCTGGTAGAATACTATGTAGTGTTACCAGTGTCAATCAGTACGCATTACATCGAGGCAGTTACAGTCATCAACCCAAACTTTCATCAGAACCGTTTTCCACAGAGCAGTGTTGGTAGGTGTTAATTATCTTGGCAGTCTTTTAAGTCTTCATTTTTAAATTCTAGCTTGCACTAGCTAAATTTTGGCATGATTTTAGCGCTGTTCCTGCCTGCCAGGTTTCCTCTCATGCATGCCCAGCAGATTCAATGGGAAAACTGCCTGTACTATAGTGCTCCTAGATGTCACTGCAGTAGGAAACGTTAATGCAGAGTGGACATCCAGGTGGTGGTACCTAAAACCATTTCCCATGTTGCAACTCGTTGGGTGCATTGGTCTCCAGAGCACAAAGACATATGGTGCTATTCCCCTGAGCGCGGACAGTGTTGTGCTCCAGGGGAGGTCTCTCCACCCGTTCCTTGAGGCGCAGGGACCTGGGGCTCCAGGGGCCACCAGCTGCACACAGGACGCGGTCTCCCCTGCTGGTGTTGGTGGCCGTGGTCCCAGCGCAGACTTCTCCAGCC